TGAAGCGGCCATCTGCTGAGGCCGACAGAAGCAGAGATACAAAAAGAATCAGATGTACAAAAGGTAACTGTTAACTAGCTCCACGGGTGGCCGGTCCAGGAAACACACAGCCAGACAGACAAGCTCCAAGCCAGTTCTGCTAGTCACAGTAAAAGAAACAGGATGACACTGGAAACGGTCCAATCTCCAACATCTATAAACAGAGATGTCGATGGCAGCAGCACAGCTGATATTTCAATCCAGGTTGGAGTCACAGCCAAACAGGAACACACCAGATGAAACTACTATCATGAGAAAAAAGCAGAGAGAATATAAAATTATGAGTGGAACTTAAAAAAAACTCTGCAGGATGGGAGAATAGACACATAATGAAGCAGAATGCAGTGTATTCTCATTATGAGTTCGCGTGAATCGTACAAAAAGTTATGCACCGTAATTCCGTACGTTTTGGACGTTTTTTTCGTCGTATGCGCATGCGCATCTTACGCACCATTCAGGAACATAGAATTTAAAATACAATTAGCCCTAACCCTGAACCTAACCCTAAGATATAAAACAGCAAGCAACGTAGTTAGAGACATGAAGAAGTGATTATTGCACTGTTTTTCCCAGTTTTACGTCCGTCCGCGGATCTGCTTTTTTTGTCTGTCTGCCTGCGCATGCGCACTGATGTGTTTTTTGAGGAAAAACGTCCAAAACGTACGAAATAGTGTGCATAACTTTTTGTATGATTTCGTACGAACTGATAATGAGAATATGTTGCAGAATGAGGAAAGTGGTCCCTATGTGATCCACCAGCCCAAACATATAGCAGCACAAATACAGAAAATAGCTCAGGATAGCCTTACTATTTTGCATGAGGGATAAGAAAGATAGAGCCACAGTAGGGCCAAGAAGAAACATCACTCTGTTTTTAACTGTATGTTTAATAAAAAAACTGAAAGTTTTAAGCCTAGCCTTAAAAGTAGTCAGGGCGTCTGCTTCATGGACTAAAACTGGTAGTTGGTTCCACAAGAGAGGAGCCTGATAACTAAAAGATCTGCCTTTCATTCTACTTTTGGAAATTCTAGGAACCACTAGTAAACCTGCAGATTGAGAGCGAAGTGCTCTGTTAGGAACATAAGGAACAATCAGATCTCTGATATAAGATGGAGCTTGGCTATTTAAGGCTTTATATGTGAGAAGGAGGATTTTAAATTCTATTCTGGATTTAACAGGAAGCCAATGAAGAGAAGCCAGGATAGGAGAGATATGATCTCTCTTTTTCATTTTCATCAGAACTCTGGCTGCAGCATTTTGGATCAGCTGAAGGCTCTTAACTACAGCTTGTGGACTTCCTGATAGTAAAGAATTACAATAGTCCAGCCTTGAAGTAACAAATGCATGGACTAGTTTCTCAGCATCACGCCTGGACGGGATATTTCTAATTTTTTGCAATATTTCAGAGATGAAAGAAAGAAATTCAAGAAAACTCTTTGATATGGGATTTAAATGACAGTTCCTGATCAAAAATATCACCTAGATTTGTTTACTTTATTATCTGAGATCAGTTTAATCCTATCCAAATGAAGTAACTGACTAATCAGCTTATTTTTCAAAGACTCTGGTCCAAAGACTATTAAATCTGTATTGTCTACATTGAAATGGGTTAGTTTGATCTGGATTAATACACAGGTATATCTGGGTATCATCAGCGTAAGAGTGGAAATTAATCCAATGCCATCTAATAATTCCCATTTGCGAGCACATACTGCATATAGTAAAGAGAATTGGTGGTCCTAGCACTGATCCCTGTGGTACTCCACAGGTAACCCTGGAGCATGAGGGAGTTTTATCATTAATGTGAAAAAAAACTGATTTCTGTCAGATAAATAAGATATAAACCAGCCTAGTTCTGTTCCTACAAAATGTTGAATGACTTTTCTAAATGGATAAAAACAAGCTCCACTGCAATACAACGATAGCTCAGAATAAATTGTGTAGAAAAAAGAAACTGAACATGCAGCAGATGTAGCTTGATTTAGCTTAAATAGGTCTTTTAGAGCAAAGTAAGATTATTTAAAGATCATTTTACGCTGCGTCAGAGATAAATAGTTGTTAGCTGTAAAGGAATCCTATAATTTTGTTGTTTTTTTTAAACAATTTTTTTATTTATTTAGTTACATTTCCAAACAAAGAGTAAGTATTAATGTATAAATTATTCATATATTTGTTAATGTAAGCATTAATTAAAGGAAAGTTGATTCATTGTATTTGTCCTCAAAAGCTAGCTGCTAGTTAGCAGGAGTTAGGTGTCTCTGCAAGAGTAACTGCAGCTTTTACTGAGCAGAATGTTTCAAACTGCTTTTGAATTCATAGATGACAATTGATGGGGCAACATGGCTGTTAACTGCAAAATATAATTGATCTACAAAAGCAATGAAAATACATCAGTAGCTTCAATGTAGATACAGGTCCACAACTTTTGTGCTGCTGGAGGCTGTTCTTAAGATTCCTGCTTTCAGTGGCAGATTAAATATTCAGTATCAGGGTCAGGGATATTACTTATTTAAAGGCTTAGATTGTTCTGCAGACATTATACAGGCACAACATAATAAAGTAAATATCTTCACACCATGGCGCTATAGGAAATATTAGGCAGATTTTGATGTGCTAGCAGCAGAATTAACTGGCAAGTGTAATATTTTGACGAAGTTTAACAAGATCCAAGATGTAATGACTAGAAAACTACAGTGTCAGGCCAGCAAACCATCAAACATAGTCGAAAAAAGTCTTAAGTGCTGAATCTAGCCAGCCAAGGCTAAATGATGAAGCCAGGGACTTACTTCAACTTATCCACTCATGAAAATCTGGAGCTGAATCCTCTGAAAAGGTTCTTTGCTCATTCTGATTGAAGTGCATCAAAGTTTGCTAGGTATGGGACTGAACAGCCGTAAAGCCATTCAGGATTTGCACAGTGAAGACGAACGACTTGATGCCTGGGAACACTCGTTCCAGCTTGCCCTATTAAAGGAAGGCAAGCTGTCAGTAAAATGTCCTGCTGTAACACATTGGTAATGCCCCCAAACCTTTGCCACCAAGCAAAAATATTTTGGGCGGATCCCAATGTGACTTTGAAGTGTTGACAATTAAATTATGTATATACAGATTTGCTCTGCTCAGTGGCGCAGTGGGTAGCACTGCTGCCTTGCAGAAGGAAGATTCTGGGTTTGATTCCCGGCCCAGGGTCTTTCTGCATGGAGTTTGCATATTCTCCCTGAGCATGCGTGGGTTCTCTCCGGGTACTCTGGCTTCCTCCCACAGTCCAAAAACATGATTGTTAGGTTAATTGGCTTCTCTAAATTGTCCTCAGGTGTGAGTGTGTGCGTGAATAGTTGTTTGTCTTGTGTGTCTCTGTGTTGCCCTGCGATGGACTGGCAACCTGTCCAGGGTGTACCCCGCCTCTCGCCCATTGACTGCTGGAGACTGCTGGCACCAGCACCCCTCACAACCCCAATCGGGACAAGCGTGTCAGATAATGGATGGATTTTTATTTCAAATATGCAGTAGCTAGGCATATTTGGCCCTAAAATATTGGTGTGACGGCTAGTAGTTTCCATACATCGATGGGTCACACTTTTTTCTGTTTCATCATTACACATGAAACAGAAGGTCGTAATGTTAGGCTTCCCCAATATGCAGCTATAATTTATGTGCACAGAAAATTATAATAATTGCATTTAGAAGTATAGCCAACATTTTGTTTACTCTCTTTACATATTATAATATAGATGGATTTCTAAGTTAGCTGTAACAGTGTTAGCTTAGGAGTTTTTTATTATTTCCTCTGTGCATTTTTATTTTTATTTTTTTTACTTTAAAATGTACCATGAGAGCTCTTATCAACGGAAGCAGGACCTCTGCTTTTTGTCTTGGAGGATTCAGTAATTTTCCTTCATGATAACAGCTTTAATTTTGGGAACAGAGTCATGTTACTGTGGGCTATGAATAAAACACATCCAAAGCAGATCACCGTGCCAGATGTCCCAGGTTAGATGCAATATTTATCAGTGGTACAACACTTGCTTACAGTAATAACACATCTGTAGGATTTCAATCATTCCATGCTTAACAAGGGTTGTTTTTAAAGAACAACATGGGTCGTATTTCAGAACAACATTGCTGCTAGAGGCAGTGCGTACAGTCACACTCCTGTGTTACCATGTCTGCCAAGACTTGGACAGACTGCATCATTACTGGCCTTTACCTTATCTATAAATAACCGCAGTCTGCACTCACCCAGCTACTTTCTGCTCACACCCCCACCTCTATTTTTCCATTTTATTCTCCTGGAAACCCCTTTTTCTCTGTCTGCAGAGCTTTGATTTGTAAAAAAAGAAGAAAAAAAAGAAAAAACACAAGTTATTGATTCATTATACATGGATGCCAGCAGCACTGTTCAGTTAAAGCTCTGAAAGGATTTATATGTAGAGCAGAGGCTTGGCTTCAACTTAAAAAAAAAACAACACATTGTTGTTTTTTTTGCCCAAAAATACGGCAAGCTTTGAAATTACATGGATTTCCACAGAAGGAGAATCTCCCGACTGACGTGTTCCCGCCAGATAGGAGACCTGCTGTGGGAGAGAGGGCAGGCAGTTAACACTTCCAGTATCAAATCACAGCAATGAGCTGGACGCTGGCCCTGTGGATCACCCCCCAGACTGTGTGACATGTTATTCATAGAGTAAACTGACTCTAATGGATAAAATGCACCAAAACCTTTCATAAAGCTGCAAATCTGTCATAGAGCACAGTGTCCCCCGCAAACATAGAGCTTTGACTTATATAGCTCCAACCTGTATAGTGTTACCTTTATGTTTCTCATTCTGAAATACTCTGAAAATCAAAGTTTTATATAAAAAAAATGCTCTGCACAAGAAAAAAAAAATCTCATTATAAAAACAATAATAACTTATTCATCTTCAGTCTGTTGAATAAAAACAAACTGTCATTCTGCTAAGGTGACAGGAAGACGGGCCCGGAAGGTGGAGGGAGGCGTGTTCTTTGTAAGTATGTCCCATCGTCACGTAAGGCTGAACGCTTCTGTTTTTTTCTCCATCTGAGTGACCATCGGTGCTGACTTTCTCACCCTACATGTTTAACCTTTCCTGCTGATGTTGCTCCTGCATGATCACAAACAAACCCACGCTACTAACCAGCCACCTGACCCCCGATCCATAAACATGTGTGTTGTGCTGATTCACCCTCCTCTGGATGGAACTGAGCTAATGACCCAACAGCTGCGACCCTTAATGTGTGTATCTACGCATCATTATGGGTGGACATGAGTCAAAATGACACCCAGGTAGCACAGCTACAGGAAAACAGCATATGCCTGTTAGAAAAAACCCTGAATGATAACGGTAAACAAAAGCTTTGCATGCATTTGTATCCAACTCTCTTTAAACTGATATCCATTAATAAAAACTGTGATTAGTTGCCTATAAATTTAAATTATGATAAAATGTAATTTATTTTCTGTTTTGCCAACGTGGCTCTGGAAAATTTATGTCCTGTAGTTAGATAATTGCCCACATGATTTGCTTTCACAAGTAGACCATTATGGTTGCTGCCATGATGATTGGGTTGGTAATTATGTATGAAACTTTATTAAAAATGGCTCAGGGTATACAATCGTATGCAAAGGAGGTGGGAAAGGAAATAGGATAAGATTTAAGAGGAGAGATAGAGAGAGAAAAGAGGTAGAGTAAAAGAGAGAGAGAAAGAAAAAAGAATAGAAACAAGACAAGAAAAAAAACAACCAAATACACAACAGAAAATAAACAGCAGGGTCTAGATGAAAATGAAAGAGAAAGAGCACAGAGGACAAAACAAAGGAAAATTACAATAGACTAGTCATAAGAAGAGCAAATATCCCACAGACATGCAGTCAGTACATGCATATATTAAGGAAAACCTGTGATGATGCATGTAGTGTTAGTGTGTATCTGTGGACACTTGGAACAAAACGCCTGTGATACATATGCATGTGTATCATGGATTTACAGGACTCCTTAATAAGGAGAATATGCTCAATACCAAAGTGTGAGCAACTTCAGATTATGTTGGGGGTCCAGAGCCCAAGGACGACTTAGAGGGGACTAGAGCTGCTGATATCTATAGCCACCCTCGATTCAGGGACACAGGAAGGGCAGATATAGGTACGGCCACACCCAACGAAGACACTATGGCACCACCTTAGGGGGTAGAGTCCAAGTACAGCCCAGGTATAGCTCCAGGCTCCACCCCAGACCCATCCTCCATGATCATTCACCTGATCCCACCACAACACACCCACCATGTCCCCAATCAAAGGTCCTTCCTGCTGGAGCCACAGTTGGCCAGTGTCCCTACTACCCTGCCTAAATCCCTAACCCACACACCCTTTGGAGGGACGATGCCAACTATAACCTCCCCAGGGCTTCCCAACAAACCCCACATCCATCCACAAACATCAGAGCAGGGAGCCAACCCCGGCCTTTCTGTGCCCCCACATTCATAAGGCCCTCTCTTACTCATGGTTGCCAGGCAGCCCACCACCCTAAGCCAAGAGAAGACCAAGCCTGGGCACCATAAGCAGATTGATGGCAGCCAATCCACCTGACTGCAGGCACAGGCCAGAGATAAAAATGTGCAAAAGTGTAAAACAAACAGAGCAGAACCCCAGGCCAGATACAGTAGTTCTGGGAGAGCTGAAAACCCCAGCCAAGCTGCAATTAACCCCAAGGGTGAAGATCAGTACTCCTCCCCACCGAGGTGTGGAAACACCCCATGCCAGCCCCTCTCCTGTTCATCCACCTCATTTTGAAGTAATCCTCGACTATTTGCGTACCCCAATAGAAAAGCAAATAAAGAATAATGAGGAAATGTCAGCCCAAATTATATGTGTCATACATCATTTGAAAGAAAATTGGGTGAGTAGAACACAGCCCAAGCAGCATCGATAAAAACATGACTCAAAATTGTTGTTTTTTTATTCTCAAAAATGACAGCAGTAATAAAGCCATGCTTGAGGATAGGCATGTATGATTGTATTACATTAGTTCTACATCATGTCAATCACAAATGCAAGCTGACCCCTAGAATAACACTGAAGCATTTTAATGGCCACAAAACATTTATGAAGCAAGTATTTTCCACTTTCTTTTTTAGAATCAGTGAATATAACAAAAGTTAACATTTATAAACCTACAATAACATAAAAATCTATAAAAAAAAAATAGTGAAACTTTTGCTTTTCAAGCTAAAATAATCTCCAGTGGCTTTTCTGAGCTGCATTTTGTTATTTTTTTCAGCCTTAGGCATTGTAATAAAACAAAATCCTAAAAACTTCAAAAAACAGGATTGTTGTTATTTTTCAGCTTTAAGCTGTGCGCATTGATCCACTGTCAGCTGTAAGTTTCACTCTTATTATTTTATGGACAAACAAAAGCTTAGCATGCATTTTTCCTCTTTCCACTTTAAACTGATATTCATTAATAAAACCTCTGATTAGCTGCCTTGAAGATTATGTTATGATTACATTTACAGGTGTGTGTAAATCATTGTTTGTATGTTCACAGCTATTCTGTATAGGGGCGGAGCTAGGGACCGTTGCCCTTAAACCCTGTGAAATCTGATCAGCCCCATCAAGGTGTACCCCTGATATTGGACATGTCTCAGCAGCAGGTCACTCCTGCAAAGCATGAGGTCACTGTAAAGTAGTGTGAGCTATCAAACTACTGGGGAGTGAAATGGAAAGAATTTGGAGAATATGACACATATGGTGATATATATGGATCATAAACGGGATCGTATTTGAACAACTAGTTATGTTTATATTTTTCTTAGACTGGTCCTAAACAGATGATGTCTGTGTGTGCTAACAGGTCAAGCCAGGTTTATGCTCAAAAACCAGGTCGTCTGCGTGTGTGTGACAGTTAACGCAGATATGCTACCCCCCGTTTCCACAGACACTCCACAAAATTGTTGGTGACTGCAGATAGCATAGCAGGAGGAGAGGAAGGAGGCCTCTTATTGGTCAATTCTACATCCACTCTACACTATGCGTATTTCCTGTTTGGTTTCTAATGTCATAAAATCTGGCCACAATGCCTGCAACACCTCTGACACTATCCCAGACACCGTACAGGACGCTAGTTTGCAAGTCTGTGCGACAGTCTGTTGATTTGCACCTGAAACCAACAGACCTGTAGATTTCTATTTATAGATTTATATCTTAATACATGATATCCTCGTTTGAAAACTTTAGTTTGCATTTACTGCTGTAATTTTTTTAACAAAATTTTCTTTATAATACATTTTTTTTTACCTAAAGTGTATTTAAAAATTTTTTTTTAGCTTGTGTGTATTTCCAACTCAAGTATTTTTTTTCAAATGAAAAATAAGGAGAAAGACCTTTCTTCTGATGTCCCAGTTTTTTTCACACACTGTAAGCCAAAGGCAAACTCATCCCAGCCAGCCAGTGTGCAGCTGCCCGCTGTGGGCACTAATGCCTGCTGCCCTGGCAGGAATGTCGCCCTCACCCTCCAAACCACAGAACATATACATCAGGTAATATGAGGAAAGCTGTCCAAGGGATTTAAATGTGGCTTTTATTGGGTTGGTTGCTGTTGTAGATGAGCTAGATTGAATAATTAGGCATGTAGCATTATGCCACCTACATCAGTCACACTTTTAATTTCTCATTTTCTTCATTTTTCTGACCCAAAAATATCCCCACCAAAGATTAAGCTGTAAGGAAACAATAGTTGTATCTATTTAGATGCATAGCTGGCTTTTAGAAAGAAGGCTGCTATAGACTGTGTGCACTTACAAGTCCATTCCATTAATTTGCCATATGAAACCCATGTACCATATGGGAAAGTAATATGTGGTGCACATGAGTATCACACAAAGAAGCACACATGTGAATTACATGTGAAACCAAACATGTATTCAAATGGGTACCATGTGTAAAAAAACATAAATACATGTGGATTTAGAGTTTCACGTGAAAAGCATGCATGATTTACCTTATATGAAAATGAGAAAATTGAAAAAGAAAAAAATCTTTTGAAAATATGTGAAATTTAAAAAAAAAATGCAATTAATGTAAAAGAAAATGTAAAAAAAAAGTAAAATACAATAAAATTAAATATGCCATTAAAAAAATAATAGATAAAAAAAGCATATTAGATATATATATATAAAAAAAAGAAAACAAATTGAGAAAATTACAAATGTAAAAGTTTTTTTTAAATGTATATATTAAGAAGTTTTTCAAAGTTTCATTTCTGGATTGCATTTCTTTTTAAATTTCCATTTACAAATTGGATTATTTGCTTGGAACAATAATAGAGCAAAATTCACTCCATAGATTAGAACATATGATGAAGACAGCACCTAGAACACCTACTTTTCTTACATTTAAAGATTAGAAATAAGGGAAGAGCTTTTAATGCAGGTTTTTACAAACATCTGATAAATCCTTTAAAACTAAAACTCCAAAACTAAGTTATCAGACTGAAAATTACTTCCAATACACCTTTTTTAGAGGTAAACTAGATTCTTTAATGTCCGTCCCAATATTTACTTAATCTTTATTTATATTTCTAATTAGTAAATAGAAGCTTATAAATATATTATTCTAAGAAAGAATACATCTACAGTCTATTCAGTCTGGTCAATAAATCATATTTCAACCTGGAGTGAATCACAGAGAAAAAAAGGAATTATAAAGATTTTATTGACATGAATGAAATAAGTTCTTTGACGCTCGGACCCCGGCAGAAGACATGATGCTGCAAGTTGACAAGAGCTTGGGGGAATAACTTAGGAAGAGGATTAAAGTCGTCTTCCCCCTGAGGGAAGGCGGAGGATGAGGGTGTCTAAGAGTTCAGCTGATAAAGAGTCTTCCAGGTTGAATTTTCAATTAAGCTTCGTCACTGAGAAAAGGATTAAACTTCTGCTCTGACTGTTGAGTCTGATTTGTTTTTGATGCAGAGCAGAGTGTAAAGAACCGTGTAATCCTCTGATGCTAAAGGAAGGAGCTAGTAATGTTTTTTGCATGAAGTTTTAGTTTGGAAGTTTTTAAAAATCAAGAGTGAAGATTTACAGAAACCCTCAGTCTGAGAACAGAGAACAGAAGCAAATAAAGAAGAAATGTTATTTATTACCTTTTACCCAGAACTCTTCCTGCATCATATTGAATAAGCTAAAACTTTTTTATCTAAATTTACCAGACTTTCTGATAGCCTTTAAGTAACACCTTTATGGTCCTTTTTTCCCCTGTCTTAGTAAGGCTTATCTAATTTGTAAAGCAAAAAGCCTTAGAAGGATGGTTAATATAAGATGTGATTTTTGTAGATTTAGCATATCTTTTAGTGTAATCATAATTCAGTAAAAAAATATTCTGTTCCAGTTATGAGTAAAGGTAAATATTACTGCCTGCAGTGGTTAAACAAAATGTACTGAGACCATAAAGACTTTCATCTGTGCTTTCAGTCTCTCATCTTTACAACATCCATAAAAATTAGGACACACGCCTCAGTAGATGGCCCTGCTTTGTTAGTTTGTCACCCAGAGCATGTAAGAGGAGTTTCCTTTTATATAACCAAATGTAATTCTGAGGTTCCTTCTAAATCCTCTATAATGCCTACAGCACAGAAACAAAGTGAGATGTTTCCTTCAAGTTTCTAGCTCTTCTTTCCCTACGATATTTTAGTTGCCATTAAAGATAAATTAATGTCATATTCTTTTAAAGGAAAAGTCAGATCATATTCAGAATACAAACTTCTCAAAGTACTTTAACTATAAAATTATTACATACTGTTCAATAAATGATAAGTGTTTTTAATTAAGAATAATTCCATGTGAATGTGCTTTACCGGAGACATCCATGTTTGTCAAAGAACACTACTGCCACCTACTGGTTTGTGACATCACGGTGTGGTATCGGCTGTTGATCAAGTCCCAGTGCTGTATCTGGTGTTTGTCACAATGCGCTATTATCCCTGATGGTGAGGACCAGTGCACTATGAGAAGCAGAGAGTAAGTCAGCAGTTTGAATACAAACCCTCCCTCTTCAAGTTGGCACTCCAACAACAAACCCGTGGAGAATCATGAATCGGAATGGTGAAATAACAAATAGTTTTTTTCACTTTAAATCGATGTATTGCATCATCCAACTGCCATGCACCTAGGCATTGTCAGTTCATAGTGCTCACAAATTTCAATGGTGAAGTCCTCTGGAAATCTTCAATAATTGTTGTTGATTGCAGATGTGTCTAGTAGTTCCCATTGATTTTGCTTTTAAAGCGGGGAGAATGGCGCTAGGCTTACCCCACCGTGACGTCACTGCTGGAAGATGTCAGGGATGAGGTGTTACTATATTTGTGCAAAAATGGCCGCTCCCAGACTCAGTGATCGCAACAATTTTGTTTTTATTCTTTTTTACAGATTAACGTTAAATTTGTTCGTAAATGTTTTAGTTATAAATAATGATCCATTGGTTTTTCCTTGCTGCCAGACTTTTCCTTTAATAAAGAACATCTATAATGTGACAGGTGCGTAAAAAAAAACTGTCAGCTTGCAAGAGAAAACATTTATTTGGAATGTCTCGATGCTAGACCTTTATCAGGCCTGATGAATTGAAAATAGAATCTAAACAAATGAAAATATTGTATTTCAAAAATAAATAATTGGGGAAAAAAGTATAGAAAACGAGCAAAATTACTTTGAAAACATTTTCTTTTGTTAAGAATTTTTTCAAAGTATCATTTCTGGATTTAAGTTTTTTTCAATCTCCATTTAAAAAACATGTTCTTTCCTTTAAAAATAATGGAAAAATAATAATTCAATACTAAAACCCTGTCCATTTGGTTTGCAAATATTGTAACTTTAAAAATATAAAAAAAATATATAACTGTACTTTTAAGCAATAACCTTAGTGTTTTTATAGTGTTTTTGTTTGCATTTATAATGCTTAGCAATGCTTATTATATCACACCCTATAAACAATGGGGCTGGCCTGATAGTGGATATGAAGAACTGCAAAACTGCATAAACAAGGCAAAAAGGATAAATATCATCTTTATATTGTAATTGCTGTTGTAAATAGAGTTAAAATTTTATTGATTTATTTTATCCACAATTCACATCATCTCATGGCACTTTAGATGGAAATCCGATCATACTGTACAGTCAGATTATTTGAAAGTTTTCTACCAAAGGGAACCCAGCTGATTGCATCAAGCCAATGGCTGTGCAGGATGAACAAGCATAGAGTGACAGTGAAGAGGAAAAAATCCTTTTTAATAGGAAGAATTTCTCCAAGAGAATCGGGCTCATTGTGAGGAGCCTTTTGTTGAAGCTGACTGGGGTTCAAGCAGTGTTGTTTTCATCAAGGCTTACGATGACAAAACCATTTCGTTGACGCTCCTTTTTTCATGATGATAATGAAAACTGATGAGCTAAACGTGGATCTTTGATGACTAAAACATGACTAGTCGTATGTTTGAGTTTTAGTCAATAAGATAAGACTACATAAGAAATAGCAGGTAGTTGGTCAGATGTTTAAACTGCATCATCGTGCTGTAATCAGCTAAGCAGTATCAGCCGTGCAGCAGTGTCTTCATTGATCCTGCCGCCCACCAGGTGCACAGTGCTACCCATGCAACAGGAGCACAGATGGATCGTGGTAGCAGCTGCGGCAGGGTCTGGGAAAATAACCCAATGGTCCTCTCCACTCTAACAAACTGCTCTGATCTTCCAGCTGTGCTTGTGCAGAAATGCGTCTTTGCGCACGGAGCTCAGAATCTGCGCTTCACGCTCTATTCTGATGGTTTGCTCTCAGCAGTATGGCTCTTCCTGCTCTCGCTACTTAATAAACTATGTGGCTGATCATCCTCTGCCAAGCGTAAAAAAAATCCCTTTACTATCACTATTTTATTTCTTCCAGCTCACAAGAGGTGATACTAAACATTCTTTAAGGAATCCCTAAATTATATCCAAATAAAATATTTAATTGCATTCTCTTTATTTTTGGCAAAGACCCAGATGAAAAGGTACATAGATCTTTAAATATTTCTCTATTATTGTTCTTGTTTCTATCTATTTAAATATGATATAAATGTTTCCTTGTATTGAGATTAAAGCATTTCCTATGTTTCCTTTGAATATTTTAGTTAACATATTCATTCAATTTAGGTCTGGATTGCCATGGCATTACAAGGCAGTTATGTAGCTTCTCTCTGTATTTTTTTTTTTTATATCAAAAGCCTGTGAATTTAATTCTACTTTGACCTCTAAGCAGTGGTAACTGAGTGTCCTGATCGGTTTAACAAATCTGACCCACATGCAGAGCAAACACTCAGAGAACACGAAGAAAAGTTCAACAGTTTTATTTGTTGTAGTATGAACTGGCGTTGAGTCTGGAACTCAGTGAACTGGTAAACCAGAACTGGAAGTCAGAGGGGAAGATCTCAGAGATCAGTTCAGGGACCGTGGGAATTTGTTAAATTTATGCAAGAGAGGGTCTCACGTTTGAGGGGGCTATTGTCAATCCTTGAATCTAGTCTGTGTGGGATTATCCAGAGAAGAGGAAACACGTTGGAGAGCGGACAGGTAGACAAACGTTGGACCCGGAGGAGTAATGGAGTGGACTGTCACTCGGATTTCCGATAGGAACTTGAACGGATCATGTGGAGGTTTTCCCCTGCTAAGTGTGAACTCTGTTTTTCCTCCTAGGATGAGAAGGTCCAGGTATCCAGTTATACAGGAAGGCTTCCTGCCAAAGAACAAAGACAAAAACAACATAAGTCTCAGAGAAACAAAGCTCAGGTTAGACTCTGCTAATCTCAGCTTGGCTAGAGTACCCAAAACTGGCAAACCCTCTGGCATCAAGGTAGTGACAGTCCACTGCTCAAATACTCCTCCAGATAATGATCCAATGAGCCGCAAGTGTGCAAGGAGGCCCAAAGAAGACAGGGCGCCTCCTGGTGGTGGAGAGAAGGAAACCGCACAAACTGGATTCCTAACACTGAGGGGAAAATTCTCAGAAATAAAGTCAAAACTGCCAAAGTAAAAAGAAGAATGTTTTTGTTCTTTGCTTTTTTGGAGTAATGAGGATTTTATTGATTTGTGTCTAATGCATAATTCATAGTAGATCAGGATATGTTGCTTTGGGATGGAAACCTTGTACGTCTAAACCCATTCCTTTGTTGTACATTTTGTTAGCTTGTCTGTCAGCTATTTTAAAAAAATATAATGTGTTGATCTGGATCTGCTATTTTCACAGCTTTTGCAAGACACTTTTTTAGTAAAGAAGTGGATTAATTAATAAAAAAGTTCATTTGAATTCTATAAATCAAAGTTTTCTGCCTAACAGCAATGATGAACTGCACAGCAGCATAATATACCCAGCTATTGTAATATCTAGGCTAGAGCTGTCAGTCTGGTAAAGAATCTAGTTGTTATTCGAAATTGTAAAGGTTCACTTTTTTTGGCAACATAAAACTGACTAAAACCTTTTTAAGTTTTAGTCGACTAAAATCGACTAAAACTACCACATATTGTAATGACTAAAATGTTACTAAGACTAATAATAGTTTTCGTCCTGACTAAGACTAAATCTAAGACGGCTGTCAAAAACAACAATGGGTTCAAGGAGTGCTCTGCTCAAACCACCAAACCATACGTCTTCATGCAGCAAGTTTTATATATAATCACATATATTTAACATTTGCAGTTTGTCCTGCATCTGCTGTGCTAAAGTTGTCTACTGCTTAACTGGGAAAGTTCTAAAGATTAAAACTAGATTGGTCTGCAAAGGGTTTACTTGTATTTTAAAAAAGTATACCTTTTTTTCTGCCATGTGTTATATGCAATGTTGGGTAGATATTACTTCCTGTTCTACCGCCATTTTGGTCCATTTTCCTTTTCCCTCCACTCTCATCCCAATCTTTGTCCTCCTTCAGCCGAAGCCAGAGAACGCCGTGACGGTAGCCGTTTCTTCCCGGGTCTTGTTTCGGACCGAGCGGGAGCAGAGGGTGTTTGAGCAGAAAGGAGTGGAAGAATATCTGAGATACCAAATCGAGCACGAGAACGAGCCCTTTGCTCCGGGGCCTGCTTTCCCCTTTGTCAAGGTCAAATCTGCAAAGTTGGACAGATCTGCATGGATTTAGGCATTTTTATGTGTGTTTGGATTCTCTCTCAAACTAACCATTTTTTCAAACTCCCATCAGGCTCTGGAGACAGTAAACGCTCGTCTGAGGGACCTCTACCCCCAGAGCGAAGAGCTGTTTGACATCGTATTGGTGACGTACAACCACGCCCATGTTGGGATCCGGCTCATCAACACCATCAATCACCACAGTAAGCTCTGCAAAGATGGAGATGGAGATCCATAACCATTTCTTGGTTTGACAAAACGCTTGAGTACAATGACAACAACCATCACAGCACCTTTTAATCTATTGTTTTCCACCTAACGTCTTCCTTGTTAATAGTGTGTAACAGAAACTGGTTTTCCTTAGATAGAAACTTTGAGTCATTTTGATTGTATGATCTGTTGAATTTTAAATTGCCTTGAGATGACATGTGTTGTGAATTGGCGCTAACATCTAACCTGACTCCGCCAGATGGATTTGGGAAAATACTGGTTAGCTGATTGGCCTATGTTGGTGATAGACGGGCCAAATAAACCAATCAGATCAACGAAGCATATTACGTAACAGAGCGACGACGAAGAGGAGCCAATTGATAGATCAAACTCCTGGCGAAACCATTCCGGAGAAGAGCAAAAACATCTTTTCCTCTGAGAAAAGCCTCCAGAGCAGTGTTTTGCTCCTCTTTCAGTGAAGAAATACTCTGTAATTCCAATAAAACTTGCTCGATAGCCACGCTAACGCTAGTTTCATCGGCTGAAGCCGCCATGTTATTTAGACTGAACTGTCGCGCTTCTCGTTGCGTCACACCTCAACCCGCCTCAAAGCCAACGCTGATTGGACGTTCGTTTGGTGAACTGCTCTAAATTTTCTTTAACAGAAAGTAGCCAGACTGATCTGCGAGTGAAACCTTGTAAGCTCGCAAGATCAGGATGGTCTCACGAGGCTAGCTAACATCCACCTCATTTTGGGAAATGATTGCCTATTTTGCATGCCAAATTGGAAAAGCAAATAACTTAGTAACTGTAAGCCCAAATTAAATATGTGATACATTATGTTAATGCTGACCCCTTCAGCTTTCTGAATATATACATAAAAATTGGGTGAGTAAAACACAGCCCAAGCTGCATTAGTTCAAACATGACTCAAAGTTTTTTTGTCATTGTCGAAAATAATACGTAGGTAGTTTTTGAACAGCAGTAATAAAGACATGCTTACTTGTTGTGGCTGCTTTATGTTTACATTTTGACATGCTGCTATATCTGTGTTAATTGTGCTTTGGTGCTTGCTATGTCAATAGAATGAACTTGTTGGTTGAATTGTGGAGAATCTAAGCTTTCCAACGATGTCTAACACACTGCAAAAATGTAAATCTAATTAAGTCATTTTTGTCTTAAAATAAGTGCATTTTCTTTTAAATTGAGGGGGTAATGGATACATTTTGCCAATGAAACGAGACAATTTAAACTTGAAATAACAAAAAAGAACTGCATTGTCTTATTTCAAGTGCATATGATCTAATTAACTTATTCTAAGAGTAAAAATACTAATTCCATTGGCAAATCACCCTATTTTTCCGCTTAAATTAAGAGTAAATTCACTCAATTTAATACATTTTCACTTATTTCCAGACCGTTTTTGCAGTGCATGTCTATATTGGTAAATATTTTACCAGTGTAATTTTCATGCATTCTGTGTTATTAGTTGTAAACACACTATAACGGGTCGCCAGCGACCCCGGTGGGTTTTGAGAAGATAAACTGAATTGAATTGAGTTGAAAATAAAAAATTAGCAGGAATATGAGGTGTCCACATTTTTAAATGTAAGTAGAAATTGTAAATACATCTAAGATAAGTAACTGTTCCTTGTTAACATTAAGGAGATAAAGATACACGTGACATTAGATCTTAATCTGTGAAAATAGGAGCTGCAGTTCAACTTTGCAATGATACAATTAAAAATCACAAACCTACAACTACAATTCACAAATACAAATTTATGAATATGAGTCGCTAATTTAGAAGACATTACAATTTCACAAGTACAAACAAAAAATTTACTACAAGATATGATTTGTACTTGAACATTTTTATTTAATACTCAACTTTGTGATTTCTACTCAGAAAATTAGCACCCATGAAAATGTAATTGGCAATTATAATGTTGAAACATTCTAACCTTGTAACTTTGTATTTTCACAGAAGATCGGATTACACATGTTGTATATTTGATGTGATAAGTCGACACAAATACAGATCCTATTTATTTATGCTTTTGACGTTCATTTACAAGCCATACATCTAAAAATATGTTTCTATTGTAAATGTGAATCCATTTATTGTCCCATAATGGGGGAATTTCACGTCTGCATTTTTTGGTAATATAACTATTGACAGTTATATTACCAAATGCAGGAACCTCCTTGCACATGGAGCCTGTTTTGCTTTTAAATATAAAATAATTTAGTCTAACTAATAAGTTATTAAAGCACAAGTTAAGGAATAAATTCCCAATTTTACAGTTTCCTCTGACGTGAGGATAAAAGATGAGCAAAAAAAAAGGCTGCTTTTGTCAGTAGGGACCATTGGTCCAAAGCCAGGTGAAGTTTACAGATGTATTTTGGAGAAATGGAGGAACTTGTGAACTCCGTAGAGCGTGTTACGCTGTGAGACACCAGGAAGATAACAGGAAATGCTGTCACATTGGGAGTTTGGAAAGGGCCACAAAGCAGGTTAGCACACAGGAGGCAATAGATCAGAAATAACAAACACATTATTTTTGCCAAGAAAGGCTGAAAAGTGGAGGGGCCGAAAGCCAACAAATACAAAAACGAGAGCAGGAAAATAAATCTTCAAAGCAATAAAGCCATCACCTGTAGGAGCAGGAAACTGACAGTATTAAACAGCAGTTCTGAGCATTTTTAATTAGCTTAAATGTGTGCTAATGGTGTGAAAAGTCACTGACTTTGCAGAAAAGTAAAAACTACACTTTAACAGCAAGAAATGTCCAGCAGAACCAGACTCAGTGTAAACAGCCATCTGCATCCACACACAAAGAGCACTGAGGCAGAAATACTTTCTATGTGCAAGAAAACTAAGACTGTTAGTGGTAATGCTTCTTGCATTAATGACACATTGGGTAAATCCCTCACACCCATGCAGTGTCACTCCCAACTCATCACATAAGTGATGCTTGATCAAGTTCCCCGTGCATCAGTATCTGACCTATTAACTGACACGGACGGTTCATGACATGTTATAGCACCAAGCACCATAGTGAGCGTTCTGACCAGCTGTATCACTGTGTGGTGTGGAGGCTGCAGCGCCTCAGACTGGAAGAATGTGAGGAGAGTGGTGAGAACAGCAGAGAAGATCATCGGGGGCTCCTCTTCAGAATCAGAATCAGAATCGGGTTCTTCCCTCCATTAAAGACATTTCATCCCAGCACTGCGTGTCCCAAGCCCGTAACATCATCAATGACCCCTCACACCCCCAACATGGACTGTTCTCCCTGCTGCCCTCTGGGAAGAGGCTCCACAGCATCCGATGCAGGAGCAGCAGATTGTGCAACAGCTTCTTCCCCACCGTTATCAGACAGTTGTTAAAAAAAACCTTAAATCATGTCTCAGACTCTGCATCACACTGATAATACCAAACAAAAAATACTGCATATTTGCAACATATCTCTTAATGCTCTGAACTTCCATATCAATGCATTTTTGCACGTCTTTTCTCCAACACTGTTTACATTTGATCACTGTTGCAATGGAAATGTTCAGAAAGCTGTACAAAACAAAACATTTTGTAAACACTCTGTGTACAGAATGACAATAAAAGTTGTCTAAGTCTACTGCAGGTCTATAGCAGGAATTTCCTAAAATATTTCCATGAGCTGCAAAGTAAAAATGTATCACTAAACCATCCCTTACCCTAACCCCTAAACTTACAGAAACACTAGTATACATGTTACCATAAACTCCTAAAGGCTGATTGATACTCAGAAAACAGGTCGTCTGCGTGTTGCAGTGAATGCAAATGAGCATCCACCCCTTCTGCAGACACTCTGCTGCACCTCTCCCAAATTCTAGGTGTTCTCTATGCATATTTCTCGTTTGCTGGCTTATTTTTTTTTGTATGAACGCCATTGTGGAAAACGACTCATGAAGGTGGACCAGCTAGAAGAGCGAGGTGCGCGAGAACGCCTTTTTTCACCCTTTTCCCACCTGGATCCCTGCTCTTTTTTGCCCTCATGTCCCTCCATTGTCGGACAAACTTGTCCCCACTTCCTCACCGCCTCGGCCGTATCTAGACCCACAGCTAGTTCCTGATTGTCCCTCCGGCGTGGAATAACATAGAGCAGACCACGCTTCAATATTGGTCATAAATCAAAAATATATGCGACAAGCAAACTGCGACAAACTGCTGCAGGAGTATAAGCAGCCCTTAAAGCTCAGAAATAAAATTTGTAGACTAAAATAAAAAAAGATCAAACTGTCACCAGTTACACGTGTGTTTCAATGATACAATGTCTGCAACCAGTCGTTAATTCCTTGTGTCACATAGCGATGCGAGGGGACTTTGACCACGCACCAATATGGCCACACTGTGCAACACCTAAAGGTAGTTTCAGATTAAGAAATAAGGTTAGAACAAGCATCTTTAATCCTTGACACACCATCCCGCATGTTTTTGATGTCTCTGTTTCACTATACCTAAATCTAGTGACTGCACGCTCTCCTCAGCAGCCATTAAGGGCTAAAGACGTCTGTTAATCCCTCATCTAGTTGAGTCCGGTGTGTAGAGGCAGGGGAGCGCCTAAAACATGCAGGACAGTGGGAGACCTCTGAGTTACGTTTAGACCTTAGGTCAACTGGACTTTACAATGGGGACAAGAAATTGTGCTACATTCTTGTTAATCATTAGCCTGACGTAGTCCGACTCAATTCTAGTCAGAATATGAGTCTGATACTGCTCCATAGAGCTGTGATTATGGGGCGTGTTTTGAAAGAACCAGGAAAAAAAATGCCTCTGCACTCAATTGGATAGACCTACAACCAATAAGAGCAACGGAGTGCGTGACGTATGTTAAGCGACGCATAGTTGTTGTCAACAAAAATCAAAGCGTGCAGTTTCACGCCTAGAATAAGAAGATGAGCCTTGATCGCGTTTCTCTGTTCCTCTTTTAAAATTAATTTGCTGTCGATATCT